TAGCTTTCTCCCACGGCAGCTTTTGTCTTTAGTTCCCACAAATGGTTCAATTCCATCTGAAAGCAGCTTTTGACCCCACGGCCACCACCGGCACAAGATTTTGGTAATCTGAAGAACTGAATTTTGTAGGGCTTTGCATTTTTTCGCTTCATGGAGAAATATGAATTTCCCACGAAATTCCAGCAGAAAAAAAAATTAGTACAATTCACAGATTATTTCAATTTTAGAGAGGATTTTGACTGTAGAGGTCAGAAAAGTCCTCTCTGCCTTCCAGAACTATTTCCGTGATGATGACATTGCTACCGCAGTGTGGCCAGCTGGGGAACTGCTCTCCTCAAAAAAACCCAAGTCCTTCTTTACGGTTTTATGCTTTTTAAATAATTAAAGAATTTATTTTTAAATAATTAAAGAAAGAAAGACGAAAACTTAGGACAGTCCCCCAAGTAATTGAATGCCATCAGTGAGAGTCAGAGTGGAGTCTGCTGTGGTAGACCCCCCCTCTCCAGGTCCTCCTCATGGGGATGAGCCATGCCTCCCTCCATGCCATGCAGGCAGCTCCATGCCAGAGCTCCTGGAGTGATTCCAGATGCCTCTTCTGGACACAGGAAGGCAAGAGTGTTGACCTTCCTCCCCCTGGTCCAGAAGGTGTCCCAAGCTCTGGACATGTTGCCGGGGGCGGGGGGTGTTAAGTTTTGCAAGGAGGCTGCTGTTCCAAAAATGAATGCCTGAGACAAACAGTCCACAGGAATGTGTCATGCATGAGGCTGGGAAGGCAGAGCAAATCTCTCCCAGCTGCAGTACAAGGTTGCATCCTTCCCTTGGCATCTGGGATGTGCAGGCCAGACACATGCAGCTGGTGCAAAGGCCAGAGCAACACCCTCTTGCTGCCTTACTGGGAAAACAGAGAAACCAGGCTGGGCTGCAAGGGGGGGCCAATGTTTTCTGCCTGGTGCCCACATCTTCTTAGCACCTTATTTCCCCCTCCTCCCTGCATAAATCTAGGTGAACGCACTGATTTTAGGCACTCTCCCCTCCATGCAGCCATCTCATCGCCACACTTACCCATCCTGGATTACAGGAACCCTAAAACTATTTATGCAAACCTGAGTAGAAGGCACAGAGGTTCAGGCTCAGGAGCACTTTATGTGTCAGACACTGAGGCCAAGTTCCCAGTTTCCAGGTAGGAATTGGGTTTCAAAAGTCACAGCTGGATTTAAACCACTAGCTTGGTGTGAGAGCCACCAGTGCCAACCAGCCTGAGTCAAGCCAAGCAGGCAGATGGAGAGGAAGGGAGAGAGAAATCTTCAGCTGTGTAAAAGTGACTATTAAGAGGAGAGGAATGACAGGTTCTTTGTGTTCATGGTGGACAGTGTAGAAATGAGGGGCTTCAACTGCAGCAAAAGGGGTGACAGCCATCAGGAAAGATGTCCCAACAAGAGTAGTGCAGCAGCAGCAGGACAGATCTTCCAAGGTCATGAAGTCTCCATTGATGGTGATTTATAAAAGTAGGATTCACACAGAGGGGTGAGAGCTGAGCAGGCTGCCTTGGGAAAACCCTCAAGGTTCATGCAGCCCTACTTTCATGGCTGGGATTTGGGACTTGTCCTAGGTTTGCAAAATAAAAGCTTGAACCTGTAAACTGGCCATCAAAAGCCTAGCCTCTGCATCCTGTCTCCTGCTGGGACACAGATATGGTATGGGTTGTGGTTAGGGTTCCCCTCCGTTGATTGCGGTCGCATCTGTGCAGTACCTGGAAACCTCGATCAGATTGTCATCGGGGTCTCAGAAGTAGATGGATGTTATTGGCCTTCTTCAATAATGACCCCACAGCCCTGGGAGGAGATATAGGAGCAGGGGTTTAACACTTAAAGTAGTATTATCAGGGTGTTGTGCACTCCTCCCCCCTCAGCCTTGAAAACATGAGCTGTTGGATGAGACAATTCTGACATTCCCCAAGACACAGACCTTGAAAGCATCACTTGGGAGAATCTGGCTTCATGCTGACACCAGGACAACCTTCCTTACCTTCAGATGATCCAGCAGCTGGTCCAGGGGCACGTGTGTGATAAGACAGACATTTGCAGAGCCAGGGACTGGGCACTGAGCCTTGGGTTCAAACTCTCCCAGCCTCATGCAGGTTAAACTTCTGGTTGCCAAAATGTAAAGCTTTGTGATTTCCCTTGTCCCCTAAGAAAAGGATCAAAGTACAATGAAACTTACTGGGCTGGAAGCCTTCAGCATCCACTCACCTGTGTAGTCCTAAAAGTCCTGGGGAACTGACTGTAGTCCTGCTAACTCTGGGCTCTTGCTGTGGCAACCCAAGACAAGAACTGGCCACTGCAAGGTTCCTGTTACATCCCTGGAAATGTGGAGTGACCCAAGAAAGTCCTACAGCCACATGCAGCTAGTTCCAAACTGTAATGATGTACGTTCTCAGTTTTGGGCACTCTCCATCCTGCCTGTGGGGCAGCCAGACAAACAACGCACAGGCTGACGCTGCAGTGGAAACAAAGATGAGGCAATGGGAAGAGGGTGAGAAGGGAGGTTTTGGCATCTCTTTTCTTTGCAGACTTTCAAGGATATTTCTGCTGGCTCATATGGCACCTGAGTCCTGAGACCCCATGGATATGCAGGACACTGACCTGTTCATCTGTGCCCACCTGAAGAACAAACTGAGGCTCACTGTAGCCTTGGGACATGAGTACAACTGCTTTTAAGCGACCTCATGGGGCAGGAGAGAGGGAATTAAGCTTGGCAGTTAAAAAGGTGCAGTGTATACATCCAAAACAGACCAAGTGGCCTGAAGCTTGGGCAAGAGATGGGTTGGGGCTGTTCTGAAAATCTTATCCATCTTTTCCTCTCTTTGCCAGTAGAAAAATCAAAACAAGAGACTGTCAGACATCTTTAGAGGATTTGTGGGTTTGAGGGTTCTCCTCCTTCAGTCCTAGAAATTGTTTTTCAAATAATATTTCTTTTTTTTGTCACCTTCTGCAGTGTGGTTTGGACCTTCCTCTGACTCAGCTGGACTTCATTGAAACTCAGAACTTGATGGCCTGCAGGTTGTGTTGGTCCTACCAGCCTCACCCCAAGGAGATGCCCCAGAGGCCCAACCAGAGATCCACAAGGACCAGTCACTGCCCCACAATTGCAGTTCCAGCTCCCCTAGACCCGAGCTGAGCCTGTTCCCCATGTTACCTTGAAAGTCACCACCTCCATGCCCAGGACTTTGGAATAAAAGGCCACAGTGTCCTCAACGCTCTTCACAGTCAACACGAGGTGGTCCAGGCGCTGGATGAAACATGGGGGGGGACTCATACACTCCTCCTTCCAGGACATCTCAGGGCTGGGAACCAGCATGCAAAACCAGAAAAGGTGAAGGTTAGGAGCATCCAGCTGCGCAGGGAAATTGTCCAAGCAGCTGTGAACTGAACTGTGAACAGAGATCAAACAGATTTTCTTTTGGCCTGTGGGTGGCACAAGTACAGAAGCAATAAATTCTCCTTCCTGGAAGGGCCTCACACCCTCACACTTTGCTCTGGTGGGACCTGAGCATGTCAGAGCCCCTGGCTGGGGACAGATCTGGAGGACCAGCTGGGTGACCTTGCTGAGGGCTGATGTCAACAAGATGCTGAGCTCCCAATGCACAAAAACCTGTGTGCACCAAGGAGGGACCATATGAATGATCCTTCCCTCCAACCCTCTCTGGTGTCCTCCTGGCCTCTTTCGTGTCCAGGTGGGGACACTCATCCAGCTGGAGCAAAGACAGAGAGTGAAGACAGGCTGGACCCTGCAGTGCAGTAGGAAGTGTCTTGGGGGAAGAATATTCCTGGGAGAAAAGGGCACTAGGACTGAAGCAGCCGCTTGGTGTTCCCATGGAAAGGGGCTGTGTCATTATCTTACAGGAAGGGGACAGGATCCCTTCTGGTGCCTATATAATGGAGCTATAAAACATGGACCGTAAGAAAGGGAATGTTGCCCTGACCAGAGCCAAGAGGATGGCAACTTGCCACCAGCGTGACTGCACTGTGGGACTGAGCCCAAGGGGTGAATGTCCAAGGGCTCTGGGGCTGTGACATGGTGGCTTGGCAGGGGAAAACCAGTTTTAGGAAAATTAAGAGTGCTGTAAATATTTCAGTGACCTACTTGTCACGTCTCTGCTTCCCTTCAGCCCCATCTGCACCAGAGCAGGATCCCTGATGATGACTCCGATAACCCTCTGATGATCCCTGAACTCCTGATCATCAACACACAGTTAAAGCAGGCTCAGGCATCTTAACTCAGTGGCAGCAGGTTTTCCTGCTGTTCCCCAGAGCCTGGGAGCACCTTTGCACCAAACTGTGGAAAGGAAATGAACGTGGCCCTGGTGGCCTGAATGATATTTTTGGGAGGCTGTGAAGTTTTCATTTCAATTTGGTTTTGGTTGACTTTACCTTCGGAAAACCTGGCTGGGTTATGACAAGCCCCTCGGTGACAAATGGAGTCAAGTTTCCTTCAAATCAGTAACAGCTGTCTACTCAGATACATTTACTTCTCGCTTTTAAAAAGCCCCAAATCCTGATGCAAATGACAATTCACTCATCTGAGACCCTCAACGTTTTCTCCACGGGCACCTCTGTGCAAGGGAAGCTCGACACTCCTACTGCCTCTCAGGAAAAAAAACAGGTGGAAAATAAACCCTCTCAACACGAAGGCAGCACAAAGCAGCACAAAGCAGGACAACAGCCCACACCACCGACCTCTTTTTGCCCCGCCATTTGCCTTCAAACTGCTAGGTGCCATCAGCAGGCAGAAGCTGAGGCCAGAGCTTGGAGGAGATGCAGCACGAGGGTATGAGGGACTCAACAGCCTGGGTTTACAGTGGTCCTTGGTGTTTTCTCTTACGTTGGGTTCATACCCTCTGGCATTGCCCTCCTGCAGCAGAGTGCCTGGGAAATGCCTGGCAAGGAGAGACGTCAAAGCCTCGCTGACACAGGAGCAAGGTCAGCAGAAAAGCGGGCACGGTTTCACCGGGGCATCCGCTCACTGCAGTCGGAGGAACTTGCTCGGAGCAGGACCCCGTTGTCCCCATGCCCAAGCTGGAACCGCAGCATGGCCTGGACCGGTGCCCAGTGATTGCACCAGTTATGGGGGGAAGCTGTGAACAGAGGCAGCGGAGCGTCACCACCCCTCCTCGCTGCAGATGGCATTTGGTGTTTAACAACCTCACCTCCGAGCAGCCCGGGCTCAGCCCCCCTGCAACGTCCTTTCCACCCAGGAAATTCTCCTGGGTGCTCCCTAGTTGCAGGACCTTCACGTCACAGCCCTGCAGCTCCCACCTCCTGCCCAGCAAACCTCGCTGGCACGACCCTCTCCTCCCACGTGAGCACCTCAGCAAACAACCGCAAGGAAATCGGACTGCAAAAATGGGCTGAGTACCTGCGAGAGAGGACAAAGAGCTGGGCAAGCCGCTGCTGGACCGTGACCTCATGACTGTCCTCTTCCTGCTGCCCGGAGCCGAGCTGTGCGAGCAGCAACGTCACCGGAGAATAGGGGGAAAAAGCAACAAGATTAGAAACAGGAGCTCTGAGCACTGCTCCCTGCAGAGGTGTACCTTGACCTGAAGGACCTGGAAGTCCAACTACATAGAGTTGCTTGGAAAATCCTGGAAGAAGAATCTGGTTGGAATCTAGAATCTAGTGGGCATGGTGGTTTTGGGTTGATGGTTGGACTTAGAGGTCTTTTCCAACCTTTATGATTCTGTGATTCTGTGGATATTTTAGCCACGTATCTTTCCCTTTGCAAGAGAAAAACCTGTTAATGTGCTATATTAAAGCACACGGTTGAGTCTGATGCTCACACTGGGGTGACTTACTGTTAAGAAGAAGCAAGGATATCCCTGGAGAAGAGGAGCTCTTGGCAAGCAGCTGCAGCAGGCTCCCCACCTCCCCGGCAGCGGGCAGCGGGCCTCTTCACCTCTTTGCCTCCGAGATTATTTTCTACCATGCAACATGCTGAAGTCTCGTTGCCCTTGCTGTCCCTGGGAGCACTGCAAGCTCCCACTAGTAAAAGATATATGAGCTGTAGGCGCCATGCTAACAGCCAACATGTAGCAAGGAGCAATAGAAAAGGAGCCTCAGGACGATGTGTGCGGCTTTGGGCAACTTTTTGGACATCCCTTCCTGCAAACAGACATGTCCAAGGGGACTCTGCCTCTGCGGCGTGAGGCAGAGTTAGAGATTTTCTTTTTCTTGCTCTGCAAAACCCAATCCTGTCAAAAATAAAATGGAGTTTTGAAAGGTCTGAAGCTCTCTGGGCAGCTGGCTCCAAAGGAGTGAGTAGTTCAGGCTGCGGAAAAGCTGCTGGGTTAGTAGTTGAAGGCACAGGGCATTCTGTGTTAAAGTCGTTCTGCCCAGACTGTCTCCACCCAAGCTGCCCATGCGTCACTGTGTACAGCAACATGCCAAATAAAACCAGAATTTCTGACATGTAGAAATAGCTGAAAATGTCCTTTTGCTGCAGGTCAAGGGAAAGGACATCTGTGGGCTGCTGTGGGAGGGAACAGTTAAAGTGCCTGTACCCTTTTTGTGCATCCTTTTTGGATTTTTCTCCCCTAATTGTCCAAGCTGGCTCACAGAATTTCCCCCAGAGCTACTTCATGGGTTATCATCTACTGTCAACTAGCAGTGGTGGGGGTGAGTAGGTTAGACAAGATAATTCAGGTCCCTGCAGCACCACCCTTGCGCCTTCCTTGTTTTGAAGGTCACTGCGGGTTTACTCACACTGGAGAAGGCGGAGCTGAGGTGGAAATCCCACAGCTGGAGCTCAGTGAAAGGCTGTTCCTCCCCAGCAGAGTGGTGTCCCTTAAGGGTCCTCCAGTGGGGGGACTGCTACCAGCCTCAACACGAAACAACAGAAAAGAAGAGGATGCCAACGCTCTGAACGGGGAAAGAGGCTCACAAATCCGCCCTGCGGGTAATTATGGAAAACAGACCACATTTATTTTCAAAACACGGGTGAGAGCCCACTCCCGCGGGCTCTGCAGCAGCCTTGTGCCAGCTGGCCCGGGACGGGGCAAGCAGGACAGGGAGCCGCTCGGCTCGTGCTGCAGCCTGGCTTGAAGGAGCCTGTTGACACCTCTTCCCTCTGCCAGCCCTGGACTTTCACAAGACGTGCAGGGGCTGACTGCCTTGGTGATTTCTGCTGTTTTGTCCACTCCGCATCAAGAGGTTCAATAGCTACACAGAGGGGCTGGCAGACAGAGGGGCGAGCAGCAGGTGGACCTCCCAAACCTCATTTGCTTGGGAAAAATCCTAACACCTTTTCTCTACTAAAACTCTCAGGGTTGCTCCCACAGGTGCTAGTAACAGGACCATTGACACTGATGCCTGACAGGGCTTTGAGGGCACTAATGGGCCTTAATAGCCCCCACGAGCCTCAGCTGGGGGCTTCCACCCAGATCCATGGGCCCTGGAGCATATTTAAGCTCTTCTCAGGCCCTTCACTCCATGCCTGAGTTTTGGTGTGGGGATGCTGCTCTCCAGCCCAGCCTCAGATGTGCCTCTACCTGAGCAGGAGCAGTGACCCTGCTGGTCTGGGCTTTGGCTTTTAGACTGATATGCTGTTCCTTGACCCTGTGCCATCACTATGGACCTGATCGTTATTTTGTACTGAACCAAGGCGTTCAGGATTTTCATTTTGGGGGGGAGAAGGTTATAATGGACAGCATGTTAGCCCCATGGTTATCATCACAAGATACAGAGGCCATATTTTCAGCAACAAAAATACATGAGCAAGTTGTGATGTTGCTATAGCATTCTTAAGAAAATGGGGCAAGAACAGGCAACTTCCTGAGAGACTGGTTTGTATCTCTAGAGTGGTAGCATTTGTTCCACTCCAGTTTACATGTAAGCCAGTCCTTTCTGAGCTAAAAGCAATATAAACCTTTTATATTAATAACTCTGAACTTCGATATGTGTCTACTGAAGAGCTGGTAGAGCAATGGTGCGTGTTCTGATAGCTAGATATAGCAACACTACACGCATCCGGATGTCTCCGCGTGTTGTAACCCTCTTGTTCTAACACAGGTTCACTGTGAAATCTGAGAGCAGGTGAAAAGGAGGGAGTTCCTGGAGAGAAGATGCCTTTCGCTGTTCAGCTGCACCAGGAAGTGGACGGCACTGATGAGGTACAGCACTGGCACTCACTTTGGCAGAAATTTGAGGTTTGGGAGGTGGCTTGGTTTTTTTTTTTTTTTTACTAGCTGCATAATGGTTTCTTGGAGCAGGGAAGCTGTGGTTCGGGTCTGAGAACTCCACTCCCCCAAGGGAGATCTAGCCTAAGACCAACAAGCCAGAGGCACTTTGGCATTAAGTTCAGGATGGGACCTGCATATATCCAACTTCAGCTTGGGAAGGGTTTTGAGTTTAGCTCCTTAAAAGTGTAGCTGCAGACAAGGGTTCCTGAGCTGCTCCCAGCAGACATCCAGAGAGGGTTGCCTCTACACGTCAGACAGAGTGATGGAGTTGAAGTAGCTCAGCAAGTCCTCCATGGTGAAGTCCATGGCAATCCCTGACCCTGCATAACAGCGTTGGATCAGATCCTCAAACTCTTGGTATTGACGTATGAACTCCTGCTCCATGGTGTGCCACACCACCTAGGGAAGAACAGACCATCAACTCCCTTCATCCGCCCATGACAGCTATACGCGCTTTGCAGTCCTGAACCCTGCAGAGCATCTCATTGCACCCTGACCACACTCCCGTTACCGGCAAAAGATTTTCCTCTGAGGAGAGAGACTTGTGGATTTTCCTGTAGAGGGTCTCAAGGGCTTGTTTTACTTCCTTGCCAGGGTATTTTTCAATGACCTTCCTCAGCTCTTGCTTGCTGTAGGCCAGCTGAAAGGTGATCTCTTCTTCTTTCACCCCTTGAGCCACACGGGCTTTCACCCCTTCAAAGAAGTGCTGGAAAGGCAAGGAGACATTCACTGATGAGCCGCCCTAAGGCGGACTCCTGCGGCAGGGCTGAAACCTGACCACTTCCCTCCGTTTCCTTCCCGTGCCTAAGCAAGTGGAAGTGAAGTACTGGAGATTGTTTACCCTCCAGGAAAGCAGGGCATAGGGAATTCGATCAGTTCTCTTCCCTCTCTGCATGGCAAGCAGCATCTCTAAGGGTTGCAGTACCGTGGAACAAGGGGACTGCTGGAAAAATCACTCCCGTTCCTTGCTACAGCTACAGCTTTGCTCGCTACAGAGGGTTTGGAGCCAGAGGTGGGGTTGGGGCACCCCAGAATCTGCAGTAGTGTAGAGCAAAACTCAAGTTTTCTCAGGCCTTCCAGGACATTGCATGAAAGCAGGAAAGGCTGTTCTGTAGGGAAGAGTTTCAAAAGGAGAACGTCCTGCCCTAAGCATGGCTGTTGCTTGAGAGCCCAGGGCTATGCCAGCCCCAAGGGATACAGCCCTCGGCTACCTTTCAGAAAGGTACCACGAGCAGTGTAGCTCTGCAAAAAGCTCCATGCTGACAAATACCATCCTCTGCACGAGCTTTTCAGACACAGGATCTGTCAGGCTGCCAGGGACCTCAGGAGGTCTCTAGTTCAGCCTCCTGCTCAAAGCAGGTTCCACACTGAATTCAAACGGGGGTACCTGGGGCATTTCTCAAGGTAGGTCCTGAACACCTTCAAGGACAGAGGCTGTGCAACCTCTCTGCACGGACTGTTCCAATGTTTTATTATCCTTATTGTAATTTTTTTCTTCTATCCAGTTGGAACCTTCCTTTCTGCATTTTCTGACTATTGTCTCTCATCACCCTGCTGTGCACCTCAGTAATCTTCTAGGGAAGGTGGCTACTAGGTACCCCTGAAATTGTTTCTTCTCCAGGCTGACCAAGTCTAGCTCCTTCAGCCTCTCCTCACCATCTTGGTGGCCCTCCACTGGCCTTGCTCCAGTTTAGCAACACATCTTGTCACAGGTGGACGTGACATACATCTCTCTCTCCCACAGCTGGACATGGTATTCCACATCTGGTCTAATGAAGGCTGAAAAAAAGGGAATAATCACTTCCTTCAACCTACTGTCTACCCTCCTGTTCATACAGCACGATAACCTGTTGGCTGTCTTGGGTATTTCCACTGCAGTTTTGCTGTGGAGAAATACCCTAAATCTGAAGGATTTTCAGAGGGAAAGGTGTTCCTAAATGTATAGCCTGTTTTCAGAAACAGAGATGGGTTCCTACATTATTTAGGGCCCTCTGCAACTTCTCTTGGTGTTAGTGAATTGTGCTCAAACCTGAAGAGCTATGTAGTCCGCTAGAGAAGGCCATGCCAGGACTCCGGACATCCCTGAGCAGACTGCAATCCGAGCACCCTCATATGTTACTCGCTTTGCTTTGTTGTGAGCAATGACATTTATACTTTCCCTCACAGAGGAAGGATTTGAAGCCGTTAACGTAGCAGGGCTGCAGGTAGCATGAGACGCCGAGCTGACCTTCCAGCCAACCCAACAAGATGTTTGATGACAAAGACTGGGAACAAATTGAAAGTAACAGGCCCTGTAAATAATTCAAGCTGATCTCAGCCTGCGAGACGTTTTAGGCCAGTGAGAAAAGAGAAGGAGCGGAGCGAGGAGGGGTCTCGGGAGCAGCCGTCACCCCTAGGAGGAAGGGGGATGCTCGCTTGCGGTAGCGAAGCCAGATGCTCTTAGCTCAGTTAAAGCAGCCGCCTGGGGAGCTGCGTTAGGCTTGTTAGTCCAGGCAGCCGTGCAAAAAGGAACCGGCGTCTGCCAGGCGCCGGCACGCAGCCCGGAGCAGGGATCTAAACGGGTCCTCGCGCTGCTGCGCGGAGGCGGAGCTGGTACCAGCGTCCGATGCTACTGAGCCCTGTTCTTGCTGGGGCTGTGCTGCACGGTGAAACCCAGCAGCAGGAGGTCAGAGAAGGTGTGGGACCACTGGGGATGTGACAACACACTAAGAAAATCCCAGACTGGATTTGGGGAGGGGTGATTTCAACACCAGTTAACTCATAATTTTGTGAAGTGCGGTTGCCCTTGGAGACCCAGGCGAGGGTCAGTTCACCCAGTACTCACACTGAGCTTCTCCAGTGGCTGGCCCAGGTACGTGATGACATATTTCTCCATGTGCTCACTAAACCTTTGCTTGGCTTCTCTCTTCTTGCCCTCCAGGCAGTAGATCTTCTTTTGGGACAGGAAACAGTGAATGTGGTGGAAATTTTCCATCATGACCATATCTGTGTTCACCTTCAGGTTTGCTGAGGACAGACTATTGACTTAAGAGAAAGGAACAAATCAGGTATGGAGAGAAGACCCCCTCAGCCTGGGTCAGGGGGGACATGAGATTGCAGACGCTGTCAGGCTTCAGTCACTAGTGGAGAGTTTAACCAAGAGCTGAGGTGAGCATCATCACAGGTTGTTCAGCTCTTCAACCACCTTGCCTTGCAGAACTTTGGGGTAGTGACATTTAATAATCATTTACCTGAAAGGGTACCGAGACATCCATGTCCAGCCCTGTCCAAATCTTTTTCCAACCTGGGTGCCAGAGCAGCATGTCAGCGTGGCACATGCTCAGCCTGCAGCCCCCCGGGTCCTCTCCAAGCTGGGAAGTAGGGTCCCTCTGCTGACAAGCAGCTGTGAGCACCAGCTGGGACGACACAAGGACCTACTGAAAGCTACCTGCCTTGCTCTCCCAACCCCCTGCTCCCTACCAATGTGCCTTGGTGGTTTTTTGGGGGAGTTGCTCTTTGGCTGCCACTGCTCCCAAGACCTCTGTGCTTGTAAGAAGAGTCTGATCTGTAGTGAGGAGCTACTCCCTCGGTAGTGGGAGAGGTTGGCATGAGGTTCAAAGCTAAGCACCTGCATCCCAGCCCCATCACAACTGGGACCATCCCGGCGTGGTAGACACCGTGCTCCTGGCACGCCACGCTCTGAATTTGTCTGATGCTCCCAGGCTCTCGCTCAGTGAAGGCAGTTCCAGCCCCAGGCAGTGCCCAGGAGGCAGGCAGCCTGCACGTACCCTGTTCTGGTGGCCCAGCTGATAGCTCCTGAAGCTGCAGGTGTACATTTCCCCGACTGATGCATCCAGCCACCAGACTTTGTACTCACTGCTGCTGAAGACGCTGCTGGCCAGCCTGAGATGTGCTTTGTCCAGCTCCCCGCTGCACCGAGCTGTCCTGAACACGTCCGAGAAGGTCACAAACTCCTCAAAGCAGCTTACGGAGGGCAGGATCCCACCTTTCATCTTGCTGGGCATCTTTGCCTTCTCAATCTCTTTGCACAAGGTCTCCTGGCAACAACACACAAGACACAACACTCTCAGACCTGAGGTGGCCCCAGCCTCATTTTATGGTGCACTACACACAGGCCAGAGAACAAGCCACATAGTCAGTTGTGTGTACCACTTTCTCCATGTACAGTATCTTCTATGGGGAGATATGTGGGCTTCCTTGTTTGAGGCTGGATGTGAAGCTGTGCTAGCTGCTCTCCTTGAGCTGGAATACCTGTTCTTCCAGGCTGTGCGGTTCTTTTGCTCAGACACCTGCAGCTCTCCTGGGGCAGAGGTGTTCACCTCTTGGGCTGGTTTTTCAGCAGGCTTGCTGCTCCAGGTCTTGACACAAACACAGTTGGTGTCAGCTTGTGGCTTCCCTTGACCTCAGTGGAGTCGGGGCCAGGTTCCTTGGCCCATACTGATGGGCTCTCTACCCCTCCACATTCCCCTCACTGCGACTTGGTCCTGGAGCATGTCCAGCTGTGCCAGCGGGAGAGCTTGGCTCCAGCCATCTGACATGCTGCTGTCACTCACAGCTTCTCAGTACTCTATATGGGGTGAAACCCCTTTGGTTTGACCATCCTGGCAAGAGGAGGCACAGATGGCACTTATGTTTCTTGTGTCCCACCTCCCTCACACAGGAAAAACTCATTGATGCAATAAGGGTCTAGTCCTCCCAAAACCAAAGAGCCAGATCCCTGCCTGATATAAACCAGTACTGCCTTCAGTGAAGACCATGTTAGAAGTTTAGAAGGTTCTGGAGGGGGTCAAACATCACTCAGGTCTACTTGGGCTTACTCCAACTGACACTCACAATGCATTTGTTGAAGGTGCTCTTGGCCAGGGGCAGCATGTTGCCCAGGACAGTGTTGAGGAAGGAAGAGGGGAGAGCTGAGGAACAGCCCCACATCTCAAAGATGGAGTCATTCAAGGTAACCAGGACCTGCAAGCAGCTGAATGGGTGGATCTTATTGCAGACATCTAGAAATCCTCTCAGCTCTGGCTCCAAGCGACTGAAGATCATGCTCAGCAGCCAGGTTGTAGGTTCTTCTAGTCTTAAAAGAACAAAAAAAAAGGTAAGCAATTAAATGGGATGGGGCACTGGCCCTGTGGCCAACTGCAGAGGCAAGGGAAAAGCTAAAGAATCAAAGCATTTTGTATCGCAGTGGAGCCTGTTTATGCTTGGGTCATCCTTCAACTCTTCACCATCTCTGCTTGTGGGAGGATGTTGAAACATCCTGCTTTGCCAGTCAAATGAAAAATGTTCAGTGTTTTTATGCTGATATTTTTTTACAAGACTTCTGTTTCACGGTATATTTTCACTTTATGACATTGTTAATAAGGAAATAAAACGGATCAAAACATATGGTTTTCCATGAAAAGTAAACCTCGCTTTCTGATCTACCCTGAAGCAGAGCCACTGTGCTGGGGAGAGGCAGAACCAGTAGGTTCTGCTCAGCCTCTCTGCCCACCCAGCTACGATACCTCCTGGCTTTTTGCTATCCAGGGAGCAAACCTGGGACCACTTAGTTGATATCAGGATGGTCAAGGGGGGGGTGGAGGAGGGGATTCCTCCATCAGTTCCTCAGGCAGTGTCTGTAGGACACTCCAGACCATGCCCCTGTCAGAGCAGCCAGCTATGTCTCATCACCCACATACTGGTTCCAAGGCTTGGTGCAAGGAGGGTCCTCTGGAGATGCCATGCTCCCTCCTCCCTTAGCAGCAGATGCCTGAAAGAAAGAACAGGATGGAAATTATGATTTGTCTGCCTTCCCTCAGAGAGGAAAACTTGAGATCTGGATTTCATTTCTGCTGCCTCACATTGGAGTCCTGTGTTTAATACTTAGAGATCCTGTGATTTTGCTGGAGCTGTCAATTAAGTTCAATTCTTCTCTGTCATCAGGAGGTCTTAAGCTTCTCCACTACTGACACCACTGACAGTTGCCAGAGGACAAGAGCCCAAGAGAGCTCAGGTATCTGCTAGAGGTAAGCAGCCACCCCACTGTGCCTGCTGAGTCTTGCATCAAGCTGGAGGAACAACTGCCTAATGGGGCTGGAGAGGACATAGTCCTGACACTTACCTGCAGGTCTGCAACGTCGCGGCTTAGGTGGAAGAATTTCTCAAGGAACTGCTGCTCTGCGGTGCAAAGGGGTTTCAGCTCTCTCAGCACCTGCTCCAAAATCTGCTTAGAAACCATTGGGCGTGTTAGAAAACCCTTCTAGCACATAGTGAGGGTGCTGGGGTAGATGTCCATGTCCACCTGGAGTGACATCTAAGCCCGGTCAGCGGTACAGAACATGCCAGCTTCTGCTCCAGGTACACAGCGCTAGAGGAAGGGCCATGGGATGGGTTGCAGCACTGGCATAGCCCCTGTAGAAGACCTCAGCTCCTTACCTTGCTGACGTTGCCTTTGCTCGACGTGTCCTCCCGGCCTCTTCCGCTCCCAGGGACGCTCCGCCAAGACGGCTCCCTCCTCCACATCGCCGTCAGCTTCTCCATGCTTTCCTGAAGACCTGCATGGTTGGTAGGTGGTTAGACATCTCCATCCCTCTCCAACTTCTTTGATCACTTTAACAGATTTAAATGTCTCTATGTCTAATCTTACACGTGAATTGGCCTTTTTCCTGTTGGATTCAGATAAATGGGAGAAGCAGGTTTTGCTCTGATTTTTATCTGCCTTCTCATCAGTTTCTCTCTCTTTTTCATGACTCTTTTTTTTTTAATTTCACTGTCTCTGATTCTTATGCCTTGCTAGTTAGTACTTAATACTATCTCTGGAGGACTGGGGAGTGAAAAAATCCTAGGTGATAAGAGCATAAATTGGCAGAAATGCCTGCAGGCGTTTTGGGGAAAAATGTTTGTTGCTTAGTTTTGATGGTAAATTGCCATAAACCAATATCCAGGCAGGGGGGAAGGTTGGCTTTTTTCAAAAGCTGACCTATAAAAATTATAAACATTCACCTGGAAATTAATATACTTTTCAAACTTTACCAGTTTTTACCATGCTGTTCTCACTGGGTGCCTGGCTTAAGTGGAAAACTTGAAAAATTTCTTCAAAATGTGCATTAAAAAAACCCTATTATATTCACTGAAAGAAATCAGTGCGAAACGTCCCTATTATTTTCTAATTAATTCTAAAAATTGCTATCATTCCACTAACCCCGGGTCTTGGGTGAGTCAGGCTGGCTCTCCGTTTCTCATAACGTCCGACATTATCCTTATTTGAGCCACTACCTGCAGGGCTTTTACTTTTGGAAAGGATTTGTCCGATGGCCTACACGCTGAGCAGGGATAAGAGATGACAGATAACCCTGCTCACAACCTCAGCCTTGCTTAAAACCGTGGAGAAAATTAATAAGCAGCTTCATGATCTTTTTCCCACCCTTCTGGAATGGGGTGACGACAATTTCACTTGTTGGGAAGTAGCAAAACCAGGAAAAAATATCTCCCCACAGCAAACAGGAAAGAATTTTACGAGACTGTAAATTTTAGTGTGGAAAAGGGAATGGGAAAATGAGGAGAAAAGACTTAATTATTGGCTCACAATTAATTATAAACAGCTTGAGGTTTGCCTTCTAAACTCTCCCATAACACTGAAACAAGGCAATAAATCATCAGGTGGTATATTTAGAAGCGATTGACATAAATAATCTTTTATGAGGGCAGGGAATCAGCCCTAAAAATTCACTGCCAGGGTCATCAGTAAAAAGAAAAAGGCACGGAGGGCTAGAGCGAGCCCGGGATCTTTTAAAGCGGGGCTGAGGGATGTTATCAGGCAAGTGTCCTTGCAGCCCGGGCTTTCCTCCATGCAGCAGCTCACCCCGAGGAGCAGGTGAAACGTCAGGAAAGACCTTGGCTGAGGTTCCCGCGGAACTTCATCAAAGCCAAACCTTCCCTGCAAAACAGCCTGAGACCAACCAACTTCACAGAAGGTATTTCAG